TCTGCTGCCACCAGAAGTTTGAGTTGGCCAAACACCAATTTAGTTTGGCCATTTGCCGAACCTCTTAACAAACTAAATTTGCCAGCTCATCCCTACTGCTGATCTCCTGCAGCCACTGTGATGTTACCTCCTGTCTACATGCACTACCTGTGGGGGTTGCATGGCATTTCGCAGGGCAGGTTTGCTTATGGTGACAACAATGGACCATATCTATGTAATCTGTGATGAAACAATCACATGCTTTCCATCATAAGCCAACGTGACTGGGTGACAATGAAAGAACATAATTGGAAGACAGATGCTGATTTACTAAATACATTGAAATTGTTCACATTGTAAATTGTGGGAATATTCACTTCAATTATCCAGTCATGTGCAGATGAAATATATAAGCTGGGATTTGCTTTTCACATGATTGGATAATTGAACAGAATCTTCACACATTTTATTGTGTAAATGTTCTTGGCTTCAGAGTGCTGTCACCCTGTAACAGAGGGTGCCTAATAAAAGACCTTCATGACAGGATCTCTAGGTATTATTTTAATGAAAACGACAGATTTAATATCATGACTTTTGCAGAAAGTTTGGAGTTTAAGTGACTTTTGAAATGCAGGAACAGAAAATATGTCTCTGTGCCACTTTTTCTCAAATGAACTGAAAGAAAGGTGACAGTCTGTGGTACCTTGGGTTTTTCTGAAGGACCCACATATTGTTCCCAACACAGACATAAATGTATTTACTATGATACCACGATCAAACCCTGCTGTGGGTGAAACATGTTGGGGCATGACTTTGGGTGGAAGTGAGCAGAGTGCTTTTATTGCAATAAACTTGGGATGAAATTGAACGTCTTCAGTGTACTACTACACTGAAGGAAACTGTCATAGGAAGCTGACATATTAGCCTCTATTGGATCTGCAGTTGTTATGATGCTGCACATGCAATCAGATATCAGACAGTCCGTGGGCAGCACAGTAGTTAAATGGTTAGCACTTCCATCTGGTAGTTCTAGAGTCGTTGGTTCAAATCCCAACCATGGCACCACCTGCCTGGAGTTTGCGTGTTCTCCTTGTGCCTGTGTGGGTTTCCTTCGGGTTCTCCAGTTTCCTCCCACACTCCAAAGACATACTGGTATGTTAATTGCATCTTATCTAAATTGGCTCTAGTATGTGCATGCCTGTAGGTTAGGGACCTTAGATTGTACTCCTCTTGAGGGTTAGGGACTGATGTGAATGTACAATATATATATAAAGTGCTGTGTAAATTGATGGCGCTCTATAAGTACCTGTAAATACTCCAAAGACATGCTGGTAGGTTAATTGGCTCCTGTCTAAATTGGCCCTAGTATGTGTATGTAGGAATGTGAGTTAGGGACCTTAGATTGTACACCCCTTAAGGGTTAGGGACTGATGTGAATGTACAATATATATATAAAGTGCTGTGTAAATTGATGGCGCTCTATAAGTACCTGTAAATACTCCAAAGACATGCTGGTAGGTTAATTGGCTCCTGTCTAAATTGGCCCTAGTATGTGTATGTATGAATGTGAGTTAGGGACCTTAGATCGTACACCCCTTGAGGGTTAGGGACTGATGTGAATGTACAATATACTGTATATGTAAAGTGCTGCATAAATTGACAGCACTATATAAGTACCTGAAATAAATAAATATGACACCAGCCATTTGAAGGTTTGACAATTTAGTAGAGCCCACAACCAATGGTGACAGTTTCATTCACAACATGCTTTGAAAGAACCCATTTTGGGAAACAGTTAAATTGTTGGTTTAATTCCGCTTTAAGTCCTTTCTAATCATGCTGTAGAGGTGCCAGTATAATATATTCATCAGCCATTAATCTTGTGCAGAAAACACCTAACAACAAATATCATTAATCAGGACACAGAAGCGGATTGCAGGAAATAAAACATGTGTGTTTAGATATGTTTACTTTAATCAAATACCGGAAACACCATGCATATATTTGTAGCTGCCACATGGGTATTGTGAGAAGAAAGGATTAAAAAAAAATCAAGAATTGTTGTTTGCTACCGAGGAACTTCCATCAATATGATTAGCATACTACAAAATACTGCGGCTGTAAAATTTTATAAACTGCGGGCTTCTTCCATTCGTAGAGATTTTACTGGTGTCATAAATTAACCGTCTTGCCATGATTTGTAGTTACATTTTCCAATGCATTAAACTTTTCATAACATCTTGTTTTTTTTCTCCTTAGTTACCGCTTTTTCCATCTCATCACCAACAGTTTAAAGGGCCAGTAAGGCAAAATAATAAATGGACTTTTATACAAGATCTTCAAAAGCTGAACTCCAGGCAAACAACTAAATTGCATTTCTGTTATTTCAGTTATTACACAGATTTGCCCTACAGCACAAGCCCTGTCTGGCAGGGCAGAAGACCTGATTGTCCTCCACTCCACTGTCCTCTAGTCTGTGACTGGACAATGGAAGGAAAAGCAACAAATTGATGAGCTCTTCTGTCAGTAGGAGGTGCAGTCTGTTTTCTCCACTTCAGGTGGAGTTCAACCACAGCAGCAGAGTGGGAAAGGAAGTCAGGAGGAACATGGTAACTCTATGGTTTCTTGAGTCACTGGGGCAGCGATCTGGTTGGAAGCTGGCCACACATGTGACCCTGGCAGCCATCTTTGGTGTGGCAGAGTCTATTTAGGATCCTTGCCCTTGGGTTTGGTAAGTATTTTCCGTGTGGGTAGTGAAGGGACAGGTCACCAGTCTGTAAGGGACAATGTTAGCATTAGGGAGGGGTTCCAGATGAGTAGGGAAAGCTTAAGGCTTAGCTCTTTTCTTGGATACCTCCCCATCTGGGCTTGGACTGGCCAGGTCACATTCCGTCCCTCCAAACAGTTGCTATCAGTTCAGCTGAATCCTGCTCCACTACACACTGTCTATCTGTCTAAAGGGATGAAATGTGGCCTGGCCGGTCCAAGCCCAAATGGGAAGACATCCAAGGAGAGAGCTCAGCCCTACGCTTTCTCTACTCATCTGGAACCCCTCCCTACTGCTAACACTATTCCTGACAGACTCGTGACCTGTCCCTACACTACCCACGCGCAAATGCTCACCAAATCCAAAACAAGGCCAGTTGGGCCTCTTTCCATCACCTTGTTGTGAATTGGTTTGTCTTTACTTCATTACAAGTTCCAATTAATTGCACCCAGACTGTGTGTGTGTTATTGCCACTCTGCCTGTCTGTTACTCTGTTCTCTCCTTCTATCAGTGAAATTCTTGTAAGTGTATGTGTTACAGAACAGCTAAATGACTTCTCATGCTGCTTTTCTCTATCCCAGTCTAAGCTCTGCTGTACAGTGGACTGCAAGAATCCAATGGCAAATCAAATCAATGTACTGTCTACATTTAAAATACATTACTACAAGCTATCCTTAATGAATACATATCTGCAATAATGTGTTTCTTTTGTATGTGCCTAGCCACTTCCCGTCCCTCAGAGAGGGCGTCATGATCGCGATTTGTGCGTGCCCATAGGGCCGCACTGTGGCGAGATCTGTCACTGGCTGTGTACCTCAGACATGGGCGATGACAGATCTGTATTCCAGCCCCATTGCCAGTATCATGTGACCTGATGTGACCAATCACAGAAGCTCACATGACAGTTGTATACAATGTATGGCTTCCTTTCATGCCATCCATTGTATACAGTAGGTCTAGCTGTGAAAGGTCACAGTGATCACATGCAAATAAAATCTTTGCTATAAGCAATCAAATTGTGTAAAAAAAAAAAAAAAATACTGATCACTATAATAACATTATGCTACTTTGGTCATAGTGTAATATGAAAAAAAATCTTTAAAAAAGAGTAAAAAATGTAATGAAATATAAAAAAGGAAAAAAAATTGAAAAAAATTCCCAAAAAATTCTACATATATATATTTTTTTCTGAACTGTCACCAGTCAGTATCTCTGATCACTACCACACCAGTTATATGATGACATTGTACTGCACTGGTGACAATATGTAAAAAAAAATAAAATTGTGAAAATAATTTTTTTAATTTCTTTATTTTCCGAAAAATTATGACAAAAAAATTACAACTTCAAAAAACTCACCATGCCTTTTATGAAATATATCAGACTGTCTATTTTGCAAAAAGGGGTAATTTGGAGGATATCTGTACTGTTTTGACATTTTGGGCCTCAAGAAATTAGATTGGCCATCAGTACTTCAGGATTGATTTTCAGATATATACCATAGTTTGTGAACTCTATAACTTTCCTCAAGACTAAATAATAAATACTGATTTGCGTTATTTTTTACCAAAGACATGTAGCAGAATACATCTTGGCCTAAATTTATGAAGAACAGTTATTTATTTGCAAACTTTTATAACAGAAACATAGAAACAAGGTTTTTTTTCAAAATATTCGGTCTTTTTGTGTTAATTTAGCAAAAAATAAAAACCCCAGTGGTTATTAAATACCACAAAAAGAAAGCTCTAATTGTGTGAACAAAATTATACAATTTTAGTTTGGGTACAGTGTTGCATGACCGCACAATTGTCATTCAAAGTGTGACAGCGCTGAAACCTGAAAATTGGGCTGGGCAGGAAGGGGGTAAAAATGCCCAGTGTTGAAGTGGCTATAGTTTAACTTCAATATTTACAAATCCATATCAATATATTATACTACCTGAAATGCCACTTGACACATTCTGTTAACAATGTCTGCTGTTAGACTTGAATTATCCAGTTTAATGTTGCCCCACCTACAGAAAGGCCCATCCATCAACCCATTAAACCTTTCCCAATTCAATCTCATCTCCACTCCATGGTATGCAGGTCGCACCAAATACAATGTCCAATATACTGTTCAATATCCATTCACTCCAGCAGGTTTGATTTTTGTTTTATATAAAGCATGCCTGCTGGTGAACATTGTCGAGGGGCAGTGTGATGCCCTTTTATAACACATCACACTTTTTACATTTTGTTTTCAACTTTATTGAGATGACACATAATGACATTCTGTTCAACTTTATGCAATGCAGCATGTTGGGATGAGATGTAGTGCGTCACAACATGCCGTACTGCCAGGGGCGGACTGACAACTCATGGGGCCCACGGGCAATAGGGGATCATGGGGCCCCTGTGTCCTTGCCCAAACTCAAAAAATCCTAAGAAAAAGGTACCAGGGGCATCTCATGGGGACCCCCTACTGACCCCGGGCCCTCAATAGGGGATCATGGGGCCTCTGTGTCCTTGCCCAAACTCAAAAAAGCCTATGAAATAGGTACCAGGGGCATCTCATGAGGCCCCCTACTGACCCCGGGCCCTCAGGCAGTGCCCGACTTTCCAAATGGTCAGTCTGCTCCTGCATACTGCAACAAAATGCAGCATGTCCTACTTTTTTCCAATGCACTCCACATGCACATTTTGTGTGTTGGTGCGCTATTGTACCTCAACACACTAAGTGCCGGTTCACATATCCAATCTGCATGACATGTGAAATAGCATTGCTTTCTATGTTGCTTGTTCACATATACCTGGTGCACTGGCAGTGCAGAATAAGTGTGCATTCAGTGCAGATTGAAAAAGAGTCCTGTCCGATTTCTGAGCAGCGCGGTCCAGATCAGGTACAGATTACAGGCTATTGACTTCTATGGGAAACGTTTCTAAACCGCACGTCATCAGCTATGAACAGAAAAAAATCCTGACCTGACCTGATGTAAACCTGACCTGAACAGCTGAACAACTACTGTATCAATTAGCTGTGAGAACTGAGCTTCAATCCTTCAATGCACATGTGTGAACGCACAGTAAGGGCCGTTCACACCAGTAGGCATGCTTTTTGGTGCATTGTGCACATAGACCTGCACTGCGCCTACATTTTTTTTTTAATTAAATCTATTCATCTCTATACATGAAAGCACATTGTGATACATTGCTACACAATTCAAATACTGTGTTGCAATAAAATGTATGCTTAGATAATTTTATGTTATGCACACATCATTATTGTTGCATTGCACATTATTGCACATCATTACTACAATGCACGCAGCTTACATACAACACTGGGGATCAGGCGTTACAACTTGGTATGAAGCAATAGCCACATTTTTAGCATAAGTGGCTTCTTTACAATTTTGCGTAACCTTTTGACCTTTTAACAAAAGGACACGATTTAAAATGTAGGCTTCTTGCACATTTTTTACTAATCTGGATTTAGATGTATTGTTGTCTATGGAACCATACACACAGCTGAGTAAATATCAGAGAAATGAGTACAGAGTCATAAAACAAATATAGAAAAGTTTAGTGCAGTAATTTATGGGCGTATGCTTGTTTACACACGTCTATCGCAGTACTGGCAATGAAGAAGGATTTGTGGCTTGTATGTACTTACACTGGTTTACGTGCCATGTTGATGGGGACAAGAGCCTCTTTCCCACAACCCTGGGCTGTGGTTGTGGTGGTCTGCGGGTGAGGGGCTTATCGGGAATCTGAAAGCCCCCTTTAGCAAGGAGGCCCCCAGATCCCGGCCCCCCCACGTGAATGAGTATGGGGTACATGGTACCACTACCCATTCACAAAAAAAAGCTGTAGTGTGAAAAAAGACTGGAGACATTATTTGAGAAGTCCTTTATTAAAAGAAGGAAAATAAAAGAATGTCCCCCCAAATAGATCCAACGTCAATCACGATGCCAGCTGCCGCCGCTCCGAAGAGAATAAAATAAATCTCCGCTACAGACGCTGGCCCCTGGCTGTCTGCCTCTGAGCTGGTTTGACAGTTCTTAAATATGTAAGGGGCGGGGACACCCGGTGACATCACCTGTGTGACCCCACCCCGTGTGACATCATTGACCGGGGCATGCTGATCACTGATGTCATGCAGGGGCGGGGGTCACATATGTGATGGCCCCGCCCCTTACATATTTAAGAACTGTCAAACCAGCTTAGAGGCAGACGGCCAGGGGTCAGCGTCGGGAACGGCTGTGGTGGACATCGTGATTGACATTGGATCTGTTTCGGGGGACATTCTTTTATTTTTCTTCTTTTAATAAAGGACTTGTCAAAGAATGTCTTCTGTCTTTTTTTCACACTACATTGTTTTTTTTTTTTTAGAATAGGTAGCGGTACCATGTACCACATACTCATTACCCTGGGGGGGGAACTGGGGGCCCCAGATTCCGATAAGCCCCCCACCCGCAGACCCCCACAACCACAGCCCAGGGTTGTGGGAAGAGGCCCTGTCCCCATCAACATGGGAACAAAGTGCTTTGGGGGGGAGCACCCTCCCAAAGCACCCTCCCAAAGCACCCAGCCATGTTGAGGGCATGTGGCCTGGTATGGTTCAGGAGGGGGGTGGTGCTCGCACTCGCTGCGCGCCTCCCCCTTTCCTGACCTGCCAGGCTGCATGCTCAGATAAGGGTCTGGTATGGATTTTGGGGGGTGCATTTAGGAGCATTAGCATTTTGATAGCGTTTTTTACAGTATATATATGGGAAAAATGCTAGAAAAAATCTATTAGGTGCATTTTCTTTTTTAGTAGCATTTAAGAGCATTCAGCGTTTTTTTCTGCCAGAAAAAACGCTCCCAGAAAGTCTATTTTTTCTGCTCCTAAACACTGAAGCTTGAAAAACAATACTAGCCTAAAATAGTGTGCATGGACACAACTGTTCTTTGTGTATATATATTGTGTTTTTAAGGATTATTATCAATATTATTATTATTATTGTACAGGATTTATATTACACCAACAGTTTGTGCGATGCTTTACAACGTGAGGGCAAACAGTACAACTACAATATAATTGAATACATGAGGAATCAGAGACCCCTACTCATTAGAGCTTACAATCTAAAAGTAAGGGTCAAGTAATACAAAATGTAATAACTGTGAGGGATGAGCTAATGAAGAAAATACATTTATAGTTGTTAGGTGGAGGCAGGAAAATGATGGAGAAAATACATTTGTAGTGGTTAGGTGGAGGCAAGATAGGCTTCAGGGCTTGGCTAAAAGTGGACAGAGTAGGAGATAGTCAGACAGATTGGGGTAGGGAATTCCATAGGATAGGGAGGCTCGGGAGAAGTCCTGCAGGCGGACATGAGAGGAGGTGACAAGGGAACTAGAGAGAAAAAGGTCTTGGGAGGAACAAAGAGAGCAATTTGGTTGGTATTTTGAGACTAGGTTAGTGATGTTGCGGGGGGCAGAGTTGTGGATGGCTTTGTGAGTTGTTGTTAGTATTTTGAATTTAATTAGTTGGGAGAGTGGCAGCCAGTGCAGGGCTGGGAGGCAGGGAGGGGAGGCAGGCTGGTAAGATTTAGCTTCAAGGAGCAGAAAAAATATGCTGATAACAGCTTGTAGGAACTTAAAAAAACGCTAGTGTGCATACAGCATAATAATGATTTTACGGTTCGCTCACATGTGCTTCGCTTTTTGAAGTTCGATCTGCATTTGTCTTGCCTGCCCAACACCTGCTTTAACCCCTTGAATCCTGTAGTAGTGAGTGCAATGCATTCCGTTTTCAGGGTGCATGCAGAGTGACCCCATTCACTTAAAAGTGACAATGGGTATAATTTCTGTTGAAAAGCCAAGTGTTCCAACTGCAGCACGTGTACACTCTCGGCTGCTAAGGGGGAGCAGTTGGGGGGTAGTAAAAATTATGCAGCTCAACCAAAGGGGTTTTATTGCCCCTCAACTGCTAGTGCTAGTTTAAATTTTATGGAAAACCTATTATAAAATCATCAGCACCATATTTTTATTCTACTGGTCCTGTGCTTACAGAAATTGTATGGTTTAGGGGTATTTTACAAACTCTGAAAGCTGAACATAAAAATGTGTGATACATGATTAAAAAATGATGCGGCTCAACACAGGGGTTTTATTGCCCCTCAACTGTTAGTGCTAGTGTAAATTTTATAGAAAACCTTTTAAAAAATCATCAGCACCATCTTTGTATTCTACTGGTCCTGTGCTTACAGAAAATATATGGTTAAGGGGTATTTTACAAACTCTGAAAGCTGAATGTAAACATTTGTGATACATGATCAAAAAATGATGCCGCTCAACCACAGGGGTTTTATTGCCCCTCAACTGTTAGTGCTAGTGTACATTTTATAGAAAACCTATTACAAAGTCATCAGCCCCATATTATTATTCTACTGGTCCTGTGCTTACAGAAAATTTATGATTTAGGGGTATTTTAAAAACTCTAAAAGCTGAACATAAAAAATTGTGATAAATGATTAAAAAATACAGGAAAATAACAAAAATTGTCTGCCCAGGTGAGCTTTTAAAGTACAGAGCAGGACACGGCAGTGAAAGGGATGACCCCTTCAAAAACTACCTTGAAGTTGTTGTATAGGCTCAAGGTTTTTTACCTTCATACATTCTATGCATGAAGGTAAAAAACCTTCTGTGTGCAGCAGCCCCCCTCAACTCCCCCCAATACTTACCTGAGCCCCATCTCAATCCAGTGATGTGCATGTGAGCCTCGCCTCCCCGAGTCTCTCCTTTCTCATTGGCTGAGACAGCTGAGGTAGCCATTGGCTCCTGATATTGTCAATCATAGCCAGTGAGCTAGTGAGGATGGGGGTACAAGTTGCACTCTGTGCGTGAATGGACACATAGAGCAGTGGCTCGGGAGAGATCCTGCTCTGGTGCCTTTATAGCAAGCTGCTTGCCATGGGAGCACTAGGCAGGAGGAAGAGGTCAGGAGTGCCAGTGGGTGACCCGAGAAGAGGAGAATCAAAACCACTGCACAGAGAAAGTATGACATGCTTGCAATTTATAAACAAAAAAAACAAACAAAACAAACCCGCCTTAAATATCACTTTAATTTTACCTTCCCTATTGACTCCAATGCATTTCAACAAAATGAAGTTTTCCTATTTTTTGCCAAAATGTCATCTTAATTAAAACCTTCAGTTTTTTCACATACCTAGTGGTATGTACTGTGACCTTGCAGTGTAGAGGTCCTTGGTTCTGTGTGTTCCTGGTTGTTCTGGTTTCCATTTTCAACCTAACATGTACTATTTGGTGAAATTATTTCTGGAGAAAAAAAATGATTGTAGAATCTTGTGTATTTCTGTATGACTGTGAAAGGACATAAGACTGTAAGCTCCTGTGGTGCAAGGACTGATGAAAATGTACTATGTGCAGCATTTTGTAATTCAGTATGTTGGTACTATACTCTTGCATTTGAGTAAATTTCTTCTTAGTTTTAATAATTATTCTTTTAGATAAACAGTGCACAGTTCCCGGATGTAATTTAAAAGATGAGTACATAAAGTTTTTAGCGCATACTGCTGGATTATGCTGGACTGTTGCTGTAGGCTTCTGACTTTTGAATTTCTATCAAAATGAAAAATGCACAGCAGATTTA